CCCTTGCAAGTTAAAATTGTTCAATATTGAGAGTACAAACTCATTTTCAATAAATGATGTCCTGTCCAAAGAAACCATTGTTGCTCCCGCCATTCTTGAACACTTTTAATCTATCAATCAAACAATCATCTGAATTGCAACAAAAAAAATAAGATCCAATATGAAATCCTGATTAGGAGACATGTATAGCCATATGCCTTTTAGTTCTACCTAATTTTAGGCATTACTTACTGATTAATGCTACATTAAGAATGTTAAACAATCATGCCTTTTAGTTTTGCTTAATTTTAGGCATTACTTACTGATTAATGTTATATTCAGAATGTAAGATAACTTGATTTTAAAGTCATGTTTATTTGTGCAATTAGGGAAAAACACACATGTGACATGACTACTATATCTAACAAAGAAAAAAAAAACACAAATATAACAGCAAAATAATGAGTCTCAGCTACCTGACGCATGGCGTCAGGGCTTAAAAACTAGTAGAGATATAAAGAAAGATAGTGTTAAAGGCACAAACCAATGTGTGCGCAACTCAAGGAATTCGTAAAAATTTTTATAAGCATATTTGTTGAAATCATTTTAAGGAAAATTTTTGTTTTAGGTTGACAATAACTATGTAGAAAATTCACTAAAAATAAAATCTATAAACAGATAATTATTTTGGTAGTAATTCATAACAACAATTGATAGTTGTTAATAAAAATTAAAGTTTCCTAAATAAGCTAAAAAAATTATAATAATAAGAAATACATGTTACTTGATAAAAGAACATATTGATAATGAGGGGTGGCAATTTTCGACACTACCTGAAAACATGACATGGATCTAATATAAAATTAATGGGTTTGGATTGAGGTTTCGCAGGTTAGGATAAAATTCCGTTTGAACTCAATGAACTCGAAAAAAAATAGGTCGAATTCAAGTCACCTACGTTGATAACATGTTTATAAATTAAAAATAATTTAATAAATATAAAAATATTTTATCCAACTAAACTAAGTTATTCTTTTTTCCCCAAAGTCATTAACCACTTAATCCCAAATGAATTTGTTTAACTTGTGTGAAGTTGGAATTATTAAGTTTGGATAAATGATATATAACATTATTTTCTATTTTTATAGTATCTTAATTTATTTTAGATCTAGTTTAGGATAAAACACTTTTATTGTGTTTTAATTTATTTCAGATCTGTTTTGGAATTATTTTATCAAAAATTTTATTATTTGATTATGTAATTAGCCTTGTGTGAAATTGGTTCTGCTAGAAACTAGAATAGTAAATTAATAAGTTGAAATTATGTTTCAGATTATTCGGGTTGACCCACCAACCTGAAATTTTTGGATATAGGTCAGGTATCTTGACCCGTCTTGGGTTGGCGGGTAGTGTTTGAGTCAACAAATTTTTTGTTGTATCTGAGGGTCAACCTGACCAGCCAATTCGTTTCTAACTCGATTGCCACCCCATTGATAATGGATACTTATCAAGAATAGTTTGGCAAGAATATAAAGTATTAGAATTTCTGTGTGTGCATAGACTATAGACTATAGACTATAGACTAATAGGAAGGGCACATATTCTGTGTGTGCACATTAAAGAAAAAGATAATTTCTTGGTGATTATTAAAAATTTTATTCTATAAATATATATATATATATACATCCTCACGCACACGCACACGCACACGCACATACCTATTTACTAGTTGAGAGATTCTAGAAGGTTTCCATAACATGTATCAAATCCTAATATTATTAAATTATTTTATTTTTTTAGTAAATTTGATTCATGTTATCCAATAGTTTTATGTTGGTTTAATTTAAATGTTTTAATCCCTAGCTAGTACGGGACATAAGTTCAAATGTCCAAATCCATGCATTATTCTAAACTTTAAATTATTTTAAATCGTTTGTAGTTCCCGTACTAGTATGTATGTATATATAAAGAAACGACACTACGGATGGTTTTTGTTAATTAGTAGCTTATTAGTGTAGCCATAGCAATTATTACGTAGGAGTGGAAAGTTTGACAAATAAGCTATCGACATATCATGATGAATCTTGAAATAGTAAATTTGAAATAATAAATAATGACACAAATTTTAGCACCTAAACTCAGGGACGGAGCCAGAAATTTATTTTTGGGGGGGCTGAAGTGTATTAAAATTTTTTTTTGTGACGAAATAAATATATTTAATAAGTAAAATTTAGAATCAATAATTATAAAAATAATAAAAACATATAATTATACATACCCAAAAATTTGTTATTGATTAACACTTGAAGTATTGGTAGTTGTTGCACTCGAATAACGAAGAGGAGGCAATTGCATTCTGCGAGTCTTCATCCGTTGAAAACGCTGCAATATTTGCTCATTTTCAATTGTTGCAAAAATATCCTTCTCGATGTATACAACCAGACAGTCATTCATCCACTCGTCTCCCATTTTGTTGCGCAAATCAGTCTTGACAATAAAGCCATATGTTCCCTTGCTAGCACATCCATACATTGCCCGATCAAGTTAAGGTGGTCATAAGAAAAATCATTTAGTATTAAATTACATGATAATGATATGCATCATCACCTGCATAATCAGTCAGTATGTACTAATCTTTTTTATTTTTATTCCTATTTTGTTGGGGGTGCTCAAAAAGGTTATGCAATAATAGTAAATACCTTATTTTGCCCATTTTATTCAATTTCATTGATACGCACGACGGATCTTTTGTGCTACTTTCTGTTTCACTTTTTATCATATTATTTTTTTCTCCTTCATAACATCACATTTTAATTCTTTTTTATTTCCTTAAAATCTAATAACTATTAATTAAATAATACAAAATTTAACACATTTCTATATGTAAATGGCTTAACCGGATGAAGATAATAGATGAAAATGTCTCTGGGTAAGATACCGTATTAAATCTAGGACCTTTTAATCAGTGAGATAAAGGCAGACATTAGACGAATGGGAAAGATGAGGCATCTAAGCTAGGCTAAATGATCAAATCGAATTGGGTAAAAAAAAAAAATCAAGTGAACAAAATAAGAAATTTTTTCAAAACGTTCAGCGGGTATTAGTATAGTTTGCCCAATTTAGTAAGTCTCCTAACTGGGCCGTTGGCAAGGAGCCCAAACGCCCAAGGGGCCCCTGTGTTATTTACGATGGTTTTCTTGGTCTCAGGACATATAAAAAAAAAAATTCTTGAATCTTGAACCTATATATAGGGGGTTTTCCGGCGGCTTGGGGGGGGGCTTAAGCCCCCACCAGCCCCCCCTTAAATCCGTGCCTGCCTAAACTCAAGATTCATGTATTGTATATACTAAGCGTTGAGGGCACACTCGATCTCTTTGCAATTTTAAAACAAATTATTTCTTAAATGAAGGAATTTAGTAAAAGGTTTTCAAGAACCAAAAAAAATAAAAGGTCAATAACACTATGCCCTCCTCAATGAAAATAATAAGCACTTTACCTACTTGAGAATATTCTGTTTGGTATTTGTGTCGAGTATTCCACTTGCAAAGGTAGAAAAATGGACTGCTTAAATATGTTGACAATTTTATCATTTTGTTGTAATTTTATCTTCAATCAGCTTGATCCTATGTAATATATGTAATATTTATTAACATATGAAATTCAATAAATTGGTCGTTAATTAATCGGTAATCAAATTTTAATATCCATTCTCAAACTATTTTACCAAGCCTTAAAGGTTGGATATCAATTGGGTTTTTCCAAATTTCGTTTGTATCCGATCTACATAGGATTGGCCCTTTTTTCAATTTTTTTCGAAGTGAAACCTCTAAATATGTGTTTTTTTTTTAAAGAAAGCCTCTGATGCTAAATATGACTTCTATTTCTCAATAAATGTCCTTTATATATTATTGCAATTGATTAAAAACACAAGGGTAAAACTGTTAACATATTTAAGCAGTTCATTTTCCTGCTTTTTTCAAAAGGAATACTTGTCACAATTTTGGATAGGAGTTTATTTGGATGATTTATTCGAGATAATTACTGTAGCACTTTTTGTGATATAATATATATGAGATAAAAAGGTGATTGAAATTTGTGAAGTAAATTTTTTTATTTCAAATCTTCCTAATCCAAACACATTATTTTCATTGAAGGGGGTAAAATGTCATTACCCCCTACATTCAAAAGGGTAAAATTTCATTAACCCAAAAAAATAAAACTTTAAATAGCTTTTGGATAGGATTCGCGTTTATTTGGGCATATCTGAGATAGGGGATACAACAGAAGGGAATTGGGGATACAACAACAGGAGGGCCTAATCTAATTGGACTTCTTTAACTGTCAAAATGATTTCTCAGTCTCTTTGATTAAAATTACGAATAGTTATCGGTAACAACCGTCGTAAATGATATAACATTTTTTAAATAAGACATAATTTTATTTAAATTATTTATAAAAGTTAATAATAGAGATACAATTAATATATATGGGATTCATATGAATAGTAATAAAATATCACATATTATAAAATGTATAAACAATTTACATAAAATTATGAAACATTTAAAAAAATAATGCATTGTTCAAAAATTTACACCAACCTCCCTGGCCGCTTCCTTTTTTTATTCCTCCCTCAATCTTGACATCTGTTCACAGATAATAACCGCTGTCAGCTTTTCTCACTGTGACGTGACTTTTAGATTTGAATATCTCCCTCTTGGTTAGTCGGTTACTAGCCGGTGCCTTGTCGCTCCCCAATTAATTGTTGGGATAATTTCAGAAACCTCCCCTGAGGTTTCTGACAGTTTCACTCCCCTCCCCTGTGGTTTCTGAAATTTCACAAACCTCCCTTGTCAGATGGTGAGGTCCCATTTCTTACATCATTGGTGCCAAAAAGACTTAAAGACCCTTACAATTTTGCTAATATTTCGTGATTATCTGAAAGCTATTAGTTAAGTTAGTTATAAACATAATTAATGTAATTAACCATAAATTAGAGTCCTAACAACCAAAATAGAAAAGGGAGTGTAGTGAAATGGAGCCAAACTTAGGCGCCATGATCTTGATCTGATTGACATAACAGCTTGAAAAAAATCTGTGCATATAGAAGCAAGAAACTTACTGGACTCCCAAACATTAACTGGAACTGGACCCCCTCCAAACATTAATTGAAGCCGAGGAAGAAGGGTCTGAGTACGAAGACCAGGAAGAAGAAGACGATGACGAAGACGACGACGATGATCAGGAGGAAGACGATCGGATTCTGCAGCCGCAGCCTGAGGTAAACGGTGACGGCAATAGAGATGGGCCCATTTCTGTTACCCTTACTGACCCGGATGTATTGGATTGCCCTATCTGCATTGAGCCCCTCAGCATCCCTGTTTTTCAGGTAATTTTCCATTTTTTCCCTTATTCAAAAATTGAATTACTTCGAATTATCAGGCATGCTTAGTATCGTTGTTGCTTATGCATTTTGATCAAAGCCCAATTAGGGCTAGCTAAGATAATGGATCAACTTTGAGGTAGCAGTAGTTGCGAAAGTGTGCTGCTGTTGATGTATTACAATTTAAATGTATTTGAAGTTGACATTACGAGTGGATAGGAGAACTTTAACTCTTGGCGTACTTAGTGGTTGGAGTTGGAATAGCAATTTCGAGCTGAATGTGTTCATTGTGTCACTTCTGTTCTATTGGTCCTTGGGCTTTGTATAGAATTGTAGGCTCTGTATGTTATCTGGAGGGTGGCTTCCGGCCGAACTCATTGGAATGGTGTTGATTGAATGCCATGGGTAACGACTACAATTGTAATCAAGTTTTTAGTTTGGACCAAAAAAAGTCAAAACTGTAACTGGAACTGGTCAGTTTCTCAAACATCCTTTTAGTGCAAATTAAGGAGCTTGCTGCTTGAACTTTGAAATGATTCCATTCAATTTGGGATTGTAGCTGCTGATTGAAAAAATTATCTTCTGCAAATATTAAATTTATTGCAATAATGTCAGGATACAGGGAGAGAGTTTTTGCAATCATTGGTGTCAAGGTGTATGCTGCTGGGCTATATGTGAATCAGTCAATTTCACTAGGATAAAACTGTTTGCATTTATCAAACCTGATTGAACAAGGAAAGAGAGGAGGGGGAAAAGTAAATTAAGAAGCTAATATTGATTGGAAACTGCAGCTCCTTTGGAAAAATCTCTGCAAATTGTTCTGGTGAGAGATATGGATGGTAAAACGTTTTGGGATGCCTTAGATGAAGCCATCTCTCCAAGAATTAAATCGCCTACTCCAGTTGATACCTCTGCTCTTTCTACATTTAGTACTCTGTGTAGACACCAAATTTTAAATAATTTTGTATGTTGCATCTAATTCATGAATTTTGTTTCAGATTGTTTGCATTTTAGTTCATTATTGTTTGTTTCGCACTTTTAGTTGTTATTTCATTTTAGTTTTGTTCATTTTTGTTTTTTTAGTTTGTCTAGTTCATTTGCTATTTATTTTTATTTGTCATTTTGGTTTTATTCATTTTTTAGTGTTAGTTTTAATTTTAGTTTTTAGTTTTGCTCTTTTTTAAGTTTAGCATAGAATTTCTCAAAAAGGAAAAGGAAAAACCATTCAAAAATATACTTTAGTTGTTTTTGTTTTAAATTCAATGTTTTTTATTTCTTTTAAATTCAACCTTTTGGCATTTTATTTTATTAAGTTATTTTGAAAAAAAAAGTGAAAAATGAGAAAAATAAAAAAAAAGGAAAAATGGAAAGTTGCATTTTGTTGTTTCTAGTTTATTTATTGTTTTTGTTATTATTATTATTGTTATTATTATTATCAATTTTGTTTAATTAATTAATTAGTTGAAAAAAAAAAAAAGAGGAAACGCGGCATGAAGCTGCGTATTTGCCGCAGCTTACAAGGACAGCCACGGAGGGCTGGATGCGAGGGCAAGGGCAAGCCCTTCATCCTCACCATTGGGGTGAGGGTTTAGGAGATTGGGGAGTTGATATAAAAGGAAAAAGAAAGCATCAGCCGCGGGAGGGAGTTTGAGAGAACAGCGGAAAGAAAAACTGAGCGACCGAGAGGAGAGAATCTGTTGGGGAGTCTGTAATGGCGAGGAGAGTTTTGGTGGCTAGGTTTCATGTGAGAGAGAAAGGGAGAGCTAGCAGGGCTGGGTAAGAGGAAGCAAGAAAGGTCGTGGGAAAAGAAAAAACTTCAAAAAGGAGAGAGCTTGGAGCTTCGGCAGAGGAGAAAGAAAAGAGCTTTGGGCAGGGAAGGAAAGAGAAGAGAACAAAAACAGGAGATAGAGAGAAAGTTGGAGAGGAGAAAGGAGATCTGAACCAGAAAGGAAAGCTTCGGCAAGAAAACCAGAAAAAGGAAAAACGCAAGGAATTCCTCTGCGAAACCCGCAACAAAGCTGATCTTTCAGCCTGCCTTCGCAAAGATTTTCTTCCCCGACCCAGCTTTATTCGTGAAGCCATCAATTTCTGTTCAATCTACAAGGTGATGGGAGCGATTTCTGTTCAGACATCTGGAGGGAAACACCACTGAAGGCTCATCAAATCTGGCCACAAACTGGCGCCTTCATCAATCTTGGAGCACCAGCGACGAAGCTTGCGACTTCATTTCTGGAATCAGTGCGACTTATTGGAAGGCTTCCATGGTCAATCTGCTTTGAAAAGGGTTCAAGTAGTTTCGCCTTGCTAGAGCATCGATTCAAGGGAGGTACACTCTATCCCTTATTTGCACTTCATTTGACCCTACGTGCTCCTACGTGTTATGTGAATATGCATGTCTACTTCGCTTTCCTTACCTTTCCTTAATTCCTTGCATTTATTTCATTTACTTTTGCTTTTTATTTAAGTTATTCATTATGGGGTATGTGTACACCTCTTGGCTTGTAATAGTTAGGGATTTAATTATTTTATTCCTTTTCCCCCTTTTAGATTGTAGTAGGGTCTCCCTAATGTAATAGATAGGGCTTGGAGGAGCATTCGATGAAGACCTATCGAAGTCATGTGCCTAGCTAGCAAATGTAATAGTTAGGGCTTTAATTGTCTTATGTGTCTTGCATGCTTAGTTACTACGTGTTAATTTGCTTTGTTAGGGTCTTACATCTAGTCGAGCATGCTAAATGTTATGTGCTATGTGTTTATAAGTGTTTGGCACGTCTACTCGCTTTCCATAGCCTGAATGAATGTGATGGATGAATGTACGTTTCCACTAGTCCAACGCTAGTCGGAATTCATAGAATGGGCTAGTCCAACGCTAGACCCTTAAGGATTTCCCCTCGTTAGTACATGTTTGCATGTTCATTACATGTCATGCATTCTTTTTAGTTTTATCATTTTACATGCCCCTCGAACCCCTTTTCCCTCCATTTTAGGATTTTTGCATTTCATGCTAGTTATAGGGTTCATTTGCTTGAGAGTCCCCTTAAATATGGGATATAGACGAGTGTGGCTTTTTCTAAGGCTTAGCACGCTTGTATTCCCTCTATAAAAGGGCAAATTGAGTCACGATTTAGGTCTCCCCGTACCCAATATGCATGAATTCCCTAGGCTCATGCATTTTTAAATCCACTCTACCATTTTATACCCTCATCACACTTTCATTTTTCCTCCCATTTTGCACACGTGCACCTTTATGTTTCTTCACTTACACACGAACACTTTTATCATCACTTGCACACATGCACTTCATATTATCATTTCACATACCATATCTTGCCCACTCACGTGCACATTTTCATTTACATATTTATTGTTTTTTTTATTACTTACTTTTTCAAACTCATGTCCTCACATTGCATACATGCATCCCATTCATTTGCATCCCACTCGCATTATTCGTGACTTCTTCAAAGGATCGTTATTGCGCTTCACAATTAATGTGATTGGCACCACTCAACCTTTGAAGAGAAATTTCCCCCAATATCCCTAGGTCTAGGGTTTGCATTCATGTAGTGCATCCAAATGTAATAAATTCTTTGGTTAAAACAAGAAAATTTTTGATTAAATCATGCAACTAGCCTTGGCTAGGTCAAAGGGGTGCCTTGGATTTTATCCTTGTCTTCCCCTTTGTCAAATGTGACTCCCGAACCTTTTTCTTTGGTTTACGTGGACTAGGAGTCGTTTAGAAAGGGTTTCTTACTACTTTTTCCTATTTTTCCTTTAAAAATTCATTTTAGCTGACTTGGTACACCTTAACTCATTACCAAGTGGCGACTCCGATTTTTTATTTAAAAAAATCCCTTTTAAACTATAATTTTGGGTCAAATCGTCGCATTCTCAAAACCCCTATTTAGACCCATTTTTCTTTTAAATCACAATTCATTTTCCAATCACAAATTGAATCAAAAAATACATTTTTAAACCATTTATTTATTTATCAAAAAAAATGGGGCGCGACACTCTGTTTCAAGGAAGGCCTCTTAATAAGGGTACCATTATCTTCTTGACTTGGCCGGACTCTACCAAAATGCTTGTAAGTTGCATGTAATAACATTCAATTTTCCTGCATTTCTTTATATGCTGATGGCTTTTTGCTAAAGATGTGTTTCCTCTTTTCTTCTTAGTCTTAAGCTTCTACTGTGCTATTTTTTTTCTTGTAAACATATCAGCTTGACTCTCTTAAAAAATCTGTAGGTTTCTGTATCGAGTGATGGGTTGCCTTCTGGTGTTGATGCAACTCCTGAGTCAACAAATGTGATATCAGCTCTTTTTGATGTATTTCCGGGAAGTGATTCAGTTTCTCCTACTCTTAAGGCTTCAGTGACCAGTGGATTGACAGCATTGCTGAATGGCTGAAGTAAAGAAAACAAGAGAGATTTTCTGCTCAGTTGTTTTAATTCCTGACACTCAATGTTCATCATAGCTTTCTACATGAATGAACTGCTCTAAATCTTGTTTTGTACACTATGAACACTTTGGAAAGAGCATTGCTCCACTAATCTAATAACCAGAAGTAAGAACCCTCCACTAAAACCTCCCCTGACGTTGTGTGCTTGTCTGTTGATTGGTCTCACTTACACCCCCTCAAGTTTCATTCTTCTTAAATTTCCTTCCAATTCTTCACATCAGATTAGCTCTCTAACCCAAGATAATGAGGGCATTTGTGGTAGACACTTGTTTCTCTCTCCAGATACTAATTTTTTATTGTTTGTATTTTTAAATTGGGTCTATTTTGGCATTGCCTATCAAGTTTTAGGGGAGGTTTGTGGAATTTCTGAAACCACAGGGGAGGGGAGTGAAACTGTCAGAAACCTCAGAGGAGGTTTCTGAAATTATCCCTTAATTGTTCTCCAATGCAACGTGACGTGTTGACTTGTCATTTGTCAAGCTTTTGTTCATTTTCCCGTCAATAGGAGAAGTTGTCTACCAGAGATGAACCTCATTTTGGCCCTAAGTTCTGCCCTCCCAGCCATGATTACACAGATGATTGAATTATTGTATGAAAAATATACAATTGAATAATTGTAGGAAAAATGATTGATTCAAAGCACACAATTGGCAGTCCAAGCTAAATTGTAATTTTTGTTCTATTTTGCCCTGATACATCTGCGTGTGATTATATTACTACGTTTATTCCACTTTGATAGTTTTATTTTTCTTATTTATCTGTATCAAATTAAAATTTACTTTTTAATTGAAAATTTAGTTAACTTGTATCTTCTTTAAAATACTCTTATTTAATATATTTTGTTATAACCTATCTTATTCATAAGTAGGTGACCTGAATGAAGTTATTCTTTTTTATCTAACTAAACTAAAGGCCTCGTTTGGCAAGTAAGTTTTTTGAATATTTATCTAAAATTTTACTGTAGATTACTGTAGAAATTTTCAAAAATTTTTTGAAGTGTGTGTTTTTTTTTAAATATTTTGAATTGTATATTTTAAAAACTTTGAAAAGTTTTTTGAGGTTACTGCAACTAAAGTTTTTAAAAACTTGTACCAGATAAACTTGGCAAAAATCTTGGCTGCCAAACAAGGCCTTAGTATTAAGTGTGGATAAATGATATATTACATTATTTTCTAAGTTATTCTTTTTTCCCCAAAGGTATTAATCACTTAATCCTAAATGAATTTGTTTAATTTGTGTGAAGTTCAAATTATTAAGTTTGGATAAATGATATATTACATTATTTTCTATTTTTATTATATTTTAATTTATTTTAGCTATAATTTGGGATAAAACACTTTTGTAGTGTTTTAATTTATTTTAGATCTGGTTTGAAATTGTTTTATCGAAATTTTATTATTTGATTATGTAATTAGGCTTGTGTGAAGTTAGAAATGATGTTTCAGGTCATTCAGATTGACCTGCCAACCTATTAATTTGAATTTTTTGGATTCGGATCAGGTATCCTAACCCATTTCGAGTTGCTAGGCTGTGTCCGAGTCAGCGACCCGACTGCGACCGACCGACTATATATGTTGTTTTACAGCAATAACTTTACAAGGAAGATTAAAAATGGAGCGGTAAGTAAGATTTTTGTATATTGAATTATGGGTGGCCGGCAGTGTTCTGTACATTGGTTGTCCTGATCTTTATGTTGACTACTGCAATCCTATCATGGTCCCAATCCAATCCTAATCCTGACTATTGGTATGTTATCATAATCCCCGCGACGTTACAAATAATGTCCAAGTGTACATATAGACATAATTGAAAACAAAACAAATCCCAATTCAAACTACTTGGAAAGTTGCACATGCATCTAATCACAGTGGTACAAATGTCACCACTATCTTGTCCATTAGCAGAATTTATCTAATTCTTCACAAGTTGAAGGGAAAATAGTTCCTAAACTTTTTACTATTATTGATTTAGTTCCTAATTTTTATTTCTAACTAATTTGATATGTGAACTTATTTTGCAGTTTCAATTAAAGACTTCCGTGATGGCTTCATCACCTATAAAATAATCTGACTTTTAATTGACAAACTAAACAAAGATATTTTAGGAACATCACTTATGGGGTTATAATAAATCAAGTAAATTGTGTAAAAAATCACAATATTAAACTTTAAAAAAGTTTTACTCGGTGATTTTTTACACAATTTAAAAGTTTTATTCAGTGGTTTTTTATAAAATTTATTTGTTTTATTATAGTCTCGTGATAATACCCTTGTTTAATTAGTCAATTAGGAGTTAGATCAGTTTTAGGTAGTGATGCCATTATGGAGGTCCTTAATTGAAATTACGAAATAAGTTCAAATATCAAATTAGTCAGAACTAAAAGTTAGGGACTAAATTGGCACTAATAAAAAATTTAGGGATGAAATTCGCTATTTATCCCAAGTTGAATCTATACAGACTTAAAACTATACCAGACACTTCCTTTGTCGAGTTCCACGTTTTTTCACTTGACAGACAACATGAGAATGACTGCCTTGAAAATGAGAGTTCTGATAAATAATTTTGATCCACAGACCATCCATGGCTAAGCCCTTTATTGGTTCCTATATTTGCGTCTAGTTATTTCATTTGTTTGATTACAGACAGGCGCTGTGGTAGTGGCGGTGGTGCTGAGAATTTGGTAAGAAAATGGCAAACAATGGGCTCCAAGAAACACTGCTGAAGAAACAGTACCATGAGAACTGCCCTGGTTGTGTGGTGGATGAGATGAAGGAGAGGCAGGAAGGTGTGCCCATCAAGAAGCTTTTAACCATGGGGACCATTGTGCTATCTGCAGGTAACTGAAGTTTCTTTAAATTTTGCTCTTCTCTTGCTGGATTGAATGTGAACTAAGCACATGTGATTACTGGAGTTTGGTTTTGGTTTTGGTTTGTTGGTCTGGTAGTTGGCCAGCTAGTCTTATTGGATATTGGGAGCGGGAGCAAATATATGAAAATTGTTCAGGGTGAGACTAGTGATCTGATCTGCCCTGTTGCATTTAGGATTTAATTTTGGTTCACGAGTTCGAGAAGTGGAGAAATAGAACTAGAGAAAGCAATTTCAACTCATGAATCTGAGAGTTTTAATCAAAGATAATTCCTTCATCTCTCGTATTGACCCTCAAGTGGTTTAATATTTTGATTTCTCCCTTCTCTGGCTGCAATAATATAGTCTAGAAGATGTGTGTTTAGTTTCCCTGAATTCTTGTTATCGCAGAAAAGAAACGGAAACGAAAACTCTATCTTTACTATCACTTACTTTGAGCAAGCTTCCGTAGAACATCCTGAAATTGTAGAAGAGAGAAAGCTTGTTATTATTTAAAATTCTGCTGTTCTTTTGAAACATCTCTGTGGCATATTGGATGACTCGTGCTTTATATTAACTGGTATGTTTCCTATTAACTCATGCTTTTCTATTAACTGGCTATAAAATGTCAAGAAAAAGGTCCTAAGGGCCTTAATTTTTTCATTCAAGGATCTTTAGAGATTTTTAATAACTAGCAGATGAATCTTATAGACAATGGCTGGAAAGACATAATATTTGATCCTTTCAATTTGGCCCGCTGAATTAAAGGCAGTCAATGGTATTGACTGAACAAAAATATCGCCGGGGCAGGATGAATGTGAGTGATTATTACAGCCAATGAATGACATTGACCCTTTCAAGAGAAAGGAAGCATTGTTTTCATACGGTTCTCTTTGTGCTTTGTGGGACCATGCATATCTGAATTTTTCAGGTAGGCATATACCAAATTTGTATTGATCTGGTGACATTTCTCTGTAGTGGGTAAAACAGAAGAGTGGACTAGTATTTTAATTGACCAGATGGAGATTCTGAATTCTGCATGGTAGTAAACATTTGTTCTTAGGTTGTGCTGTTGGACAGCTAAGAATGCTAATAAGAACGTCTCAATTCAATACAAGTGTCGAGAAATTGATTCCCATTGCAGATTCATGTGGATTCTGAAGGAAATCTACACTTTTAGGAATAACTTCTGCCTGAAATTAAGAGATCTTCTTCTTCATAGAGTTTGGTTTGGATGATATTAGTTCTGCCATGGGAGTGTTAGACAGAAGCGGGTTATTTTCTCTATTTTATCCTGTAATGGTTTCTTATTACCTTAGGTATGAAGTGGGAACCACTTTCATTTAATTCAGTTACGTTGCAATAACTTTTCTTTGTACGTTATGGGTTATTTTTTAAAAGATCCAACAAAAAAGATATAAAAGATGAACAGCTGGCATGTTTTTGCCTGAACATATGAACAAGCAAAATGTGGTTCGCTACCTCACATGGAAGCAGAAACTGAGATTAGATGATAGAACTGAACTATCAAGTCAAGTGACTTGGTTTGACTAAGCACAAATATCAAGAGGTTGAACTCTATATGAGATTGAAGAGAAATTTAAACCATGTGAGTTCACCACATTAGTTTATTCAAATTGGAGGAACAGAGAAAGATGTGTTGCTACTGCCAATTTTCATGCATTCAGTATTTAAACGAAATATTTATTTAAAGTTCAGACTCTGGTTTATGACTACTGTATTTGGTCACACCAAATTTTATAAGAGATTGAATTTGAACAGAGGAAATGAGACATAATAGTTTACAGCAAATAGTTTGTGTGTACATCATGTCTTTTCTTGGTTGCAACAATATTCTTTACTTACTCCCGTTTGGGGACATATTTTTTATCCTAGATGAGTAAATGGTTCATCTGGGATTTGTGACACAAACAAATACCTCTGGATATCTCTATATTATTGGCTCTTATTGCTTAGTTTTCCTTTTTCAAGTTAAATGTTTGGCATTTTTACAAAACCTTTATGTGTATAGCTTCGTAGTTATTTACAAATGTTTTTAGCACTTACATGAGGATTGGTTATTGTTTTATTGACAATTTCAGTTTTATTGCAAGGTCGTGCTCTGACATCTTTTTCTCTCTGTCTTTGGTTGCTTCCTCAGCACTACCAATTGCATCTCTTTATCCATTTCTTTATTTTATGGTAAGTATATTTTAGCCAAATTTGGTTGCACTGAACTTCTGTTCAATTTCTGTAAATGCCCTTCTATTTAATTGTCCTGAGTAGCTTAGTTTGAGAGTCTTTTGATTTACTTCTTATAAGGATTTGGCATGGGATTCCTTACTGTTTCATGTCAGATATCTTGTTAGTCTTTCAAACTTTCAGTGTTGAAATACCGATATTTTACTATTTCTGCCTCTGGAGAAATAAATTCATTTTCTCCTTTAGATATCCTGACCTATAAAATAAGCTTATTCTTTTAGAATTCTAATAGACCTACAAGAAGCTAGTGGTTTCAGGCTGGTGGCCTTTACTACAAAAACATGATCTGGAGATAACTAGACTTGAAAAACTATTTGCATCTACCTTCTTTTCCCTTACCAAATGGCAGATCTGCTTTACTGAAATTTCATTTTAAAACTTGACCTGTAAGAAATTGGCCAGTCATTGTAGTGTTAAAAGACACATATGTTGGCAATGCTTTGCATTTTTTACTTTTCCACAAATTTTGCAGTCTATGGAAGGAATTATCGAATCTGAACCAAATTATAATGTTTACTTGGAAACAGATACCATGTTGTTAGACACTGGGAGTCTGCACTCACTTTTGTGTCCCTTTAGCATTGATTTTGCTATAAAAACATGGAACTCTGGCAATTCAGACAAAAATGGGATTACATGACATTACTTTGTAATTGATTTTATATATGAATCCCACAGATTATTGGATATGGAACTTGTTTAATATAGGCTTTTGACTGTTAGAAATTAATCCCTTACTGATTCTACGGCTCATGCATTTATCTTTCATGAAGAAATTTCTTCTACTTCTTATTTTCCCTAATGTCATGGATGCATCTGTATTTTTACTCTTGAAAAGAGATTTCAGTTACAGATGTTTCAGTCTTTGATTTTACAATGTAACTTGCAGATAAGAGATTTCCATATTGCAAAGAGGGAGGAAGATATCAATTTTTATGCAGGCTATGTTGGTGAGTTTATTTCCCTCTACTTCAGTGATATTTTTCCACCAAGTATTGCATACTTGTCCTTGATAAATAGTCATACGTTGCCTATAATCATGAAGGTGCCTCATATATGCTTGGAAGAACTCTGACTTCCATATTTTGGGGAGTAGTGGCTGATCGATATGGTCGAAAACCTGTCATATTCACAGGGGTTATCGCTGTGTATGTCCACTTAATCGGTTTCAAATTAAGTTTTCTATTCTAACTGTGAATAGTTCAATAAGCCTTGGTAAATCTTGGTTTCAGATTTGTTTTCAATACTCTATTCGGTCTTAGTTTGAACTTCTGGATGGCAATTGGTACAAGGTTTCTGCTTGGTGCATTGAACGGTTTACTCGGACCAATGAAGGTATTACAAAATTCACGGGGTCCTTTACTCTTGGAAGTTCACAGCTGAACAATGAAGCCGTTATCCTAAGTTTATATGGATGCAACTGTCTTTCTTCTACTGTTCCCTGCATTTGCATTTACATAAAATCTAAAGACAGCAATGACTGAGATGCTGCAATTTCCAGGCATATGCAAGTGAGATTTTCCATCACAAGTATCAAGCTGTGGCACTCTCCTCTGTAAGCACCTCGGATCACTGTATACTTCAGATTTATAACTAGCTACTTAACTAGCAAAATTTGTATTATGCGATATGTCAGTTTACTAACATAATTATGGTGTGAGCTATCATTGACAAGATAGTTATCTATCGAGTAATATAACTTTGTCAAAACAACATATGTAGAACTAAAAAATGCACTATTTGAAAGTCAAATACAATAAACTGGAAGCAAAATAGCAATTAAACGATGACTTTGGACTGAAAGGCTGGAACTTCAGACAGGGTGAGTCTTGACCTGCCCAACTGTATCTTTGAACCATACTGGGATGTTCGATTGAGCCACACCAATGGTCTAGCCTTCATGTTTAAACTAGAATATGCTAAAATACTGACAATATATATATATATATATATATATATATATATATATATATATATATATTTTGCAGATCAGTGCATCGTGGGCCATAGGTTTGATCACTGGCCCAGCTTTGGGAGGTTTTCTTGCACAGGTACTCTAATTTGTTGTTTATGAACCCCCATTTACTTTTCTGCTGCTAATTTATCCCTTATCATATGCATATTAACTATTGGAAGCAGCCTTGACTCAAATACTACTGAAGATTTGGAGACACGTATTGACCAAATCCCCATTGCTAAAGTATCAAGTTTTGCTACCACTGATTTTTTATTCTTTGAATTTCTTTCATCAAGAAAAGATTCTTGCTTTTATTCTCGTTTCTTGATTTGTAGAGCAGTACTGTATGAAAACCGGGTTGGGATTTACTTTGACATAAGTAACTACAGTACAAGATTGGACTTAGTTTAGTGAACATTCACGCATAATGAGCTAAATGCCTACAACTAGAGCTTCCACATTCTATATGTGCAAAAGACTTTCAAATTCTTGAACTTGTGAAGCATGTATAAGTAGAGACTGGTTTATTTTGCACCACATCTTTTCAGTGTCATTAATGTGTTCTAATTTTTATTTCATGTGCCAAGCCCGCAGAAAAATATCCTGCCACATTTTCTCCAAATTCTATCTTTGGCAGGTAAACAATGCTCTGGTTGTGTATTAATATTTTCATAATGTTTTTGGGCTAATACTTTCTTATCCATAACGCTCCAAATATTATTTTTCAGATTTCCATACTTCCTGCCGTGCCTTTGCATATCGCTCTTTGCATTAATTGGGGCAATTTGTTGTTTTTGGCTACCGGTAAGTCTCCAGTATATACGTTGAATTCCAATTAGATTTTCTGTCATCCATATTGTTGATCATTTTGAGACGTGTCTTTATTTGGAACACTATTTTGCCATCACATCGCAGAGCTGATAATTATTTTTCAATATAATTCTTAGCTCTCTCCTACTTGTTGCAGCAGTTTACTCTAGAAAATTTAGTTATTGATATTGCTGAGCCCTTTTTAATGCTTCGCCCTCTAGTGAAAGCACTAAGAATCGTCTTTGCATTAGTCTACATTCCTGCTTGATTTTTTGAATGACCTAAAATCTGCATCCTTTAATCACTATAACTACTTGTGGTATATTGCCACATGTGAACCCTCAACACTTCATAAACAAAAATTAGCCGCATGGACATACTGATCTTGCATGAGAAAATTTAGTCACCATTTCTAACAACTTCTTTTGGAAAAAAATGACAATTAAAGTCAATGTCTCACAGGTTCTAGGATATTGCACTCGAATTTGAAACAACCTTTGTGTACCATTTAATACAAACTTAATACTCTGCAGTTGACTTTTGATCTTGAGGAACAGCCCAATCTGCATACCATTTGATTTGTGTATAAGTATGGCTCCGATACAACATAACTATACCTAGCTATCAGTACATGGAACTACATCCCACTGGAAAGGAGATATCTAGTCTACTCATAGAGTGATAATTGAGCTTTCCAACTTGTCTTACATACCTAGTTTGTTAACAATGCCTAAAGAGAGAGTTTAATGTTGAATTATCTTATAATTATCACCTGTGGTTATCCTATGATCTACTAAAACAACTATTCAACTTTGTCTGGAACTTGTTGGAAACATACTGAGTGGTTCACTCAGCATCTCTTGAGCCCAAACTTATGCAGAATTGCTGATAAAATGAATAAAGCAAGCTCTGGGAGACTGCTTTAGTCAACTCACCAGCTTGGAATCCTCCCCCTGAGCATCAACATAGGAGGTCACTTCATGTAAACCTCCTCATCATTTTATGTAAGCCCCCTCATCTTGTCACTTTTGTGATGAAAACTAAGAAAAAAGGAGAGAAATACTCTTCTTCATATATTTGGACTACATACTATACATATATATATATATACACACAAGTGTAATCTAATTTAGATCCTAAATTCATGCTAATCTAAATCAATCTACTACCTAATTATTATATGATACTATAATCATATGATACCTAATTAATACATGATACTATAATCATATCTTTCCTAATATTTATAATATCAAATCTTTCCATAATATATCTTCAACACTTCCCCTCAAGCTGGAGCATAGATGTTGCTCATGCCCAGTTTGTTACAAAGGTAATCAACTCGAACCCCATGTAGAGCCTTCGTAAAGAGATCTCCCAATTGTTCTCCAGTCCTTACAAATCCTGTAGAAATCAAGCCCTGCTGTATTTTCTCACGAACAAAATGACAATCTATTTCGATGTGTTTTGTTCGCTCATGAAATACGGGATTGGATGCAATATGAAGAGCCGCTTGGTTATCACACCACAATTTTGCAAGCATTGAGGTTTTGAGACCTACTTCAGTTAGAAGTTAATTTATCCACATGATTTCACACATCGATTGTGCCATAGCTTTATATTCTGACTCTACACTCGATCGCGAGACAACATTCTGCTTCTTACTCTTCCATGAGACCAGGTTTCCTCCAACAAAGACACAAAATCCAGTTGTGGATCTTCGATCTGCCCTGGATCCTGTCTAATCAGCATCTGAAAAACACTCAATCCTAGTATGACCATGATTTTTATACAGAATACCATGTCCAGGAGCTCCTTTTAAATAACACAAAATTTATTCTACAGCTGCCCAATGATTAACAGTAGGATTAGACACATATTGACTAACAATACTAACTGAATGCACGATATCTGGACGAGTCACTGTAAGATAATTCAACTTTCTAACCAATCTTCTATACCTCCCAGGATCTTCTAACAATTCACCTTTTGTGAGCTGCAAGTTAGGAATCATTGGGGTACTAGCTGGTTTAGCCCCCAATTTTCCTGTTTCAGATAGTAAGTCAAGAACATATTTTCTTTGGGACAGGAATATCCCCTTCCTACTCTTTGCTACCTCAATACCCAAAAAATACTTTAACAGTCCCAAATCCTTTGTTTGAAATTGACTATGGAGAAAAGTTTTAAGAGATAAAATACCTGTAGCATCATTCCCAGTGATAACAATATCATCCACATATACTACCAACAAAATAATACCCAGTTTCAGACTGTTTGTAGAAAACAGAATGATCAGATTTGCTTTTCTGCATCCCAAATCTTTCAACTGCTAGACTAAATTTTCCAAACCAAGCACGAGGACTTTGTTTCAGTCCATACAAGGACTTCCGAAGATGACAAACCTTCCCAGACTCCTCCTAAGCAACAAACCCTGGTGGTTGCTCCATATAAACTTCCTCTTGGAGGTCTCCATGAAGAAAGGCATTCTTGATATCTAGTTGATGCAAAGGCCAATTATGAGTGGCTGCCATAGAAATGAATAACCTGACAGATGTTAACTTAGCAACAGGGGAAAAAGTGTTAAAATAATCCTCTCTGTAGATTTGGGCATAGCCTTTGGCAACAAGGCGAGATTTCAACCGAGCAACCGACCCATCAGAATTGAATTTAATTGCAAAAACCCACTTCTCCCAATGGCCTTCTTCCCTGCAGGTAAATTTACTAAGTTCCAAGTATCATTACCATCTAGAGCATTCATCTCCTCTATCATAGCATTGCGCCATCCGGGATGGGATAGGGCTTCATGAACAGTTTTAGGAAGGGAGATAGAATCAATAGATGTAATAAAGGAACAAGAAGAGGTGAGTAAATGATTATAAGATACACACGAAGACACAGGATAAGTGCATTGTCGCTTACCTTTGCGAAGAGCAATAGGAAGATCATCACTTGAGACAGGATCTAGTAACGAAGGAACTGGTTCAGGGCATGCATCAGGAGACTTTTGTCGTCGAGAATATATTTGAGTAATTGGAGGTTTAGCAGGGAAAGAACTTGAGGATGTGATAGTATAGATTAACAAATCATCATCCTCCTGACATGAATGAGATGGGGATGGTAAAAGGTGTATTTTCAAGAAAAGTAACATCAACTGACACAATGTACCTGCCGAGATTAGGGCAATAACATCTATATCCTTTTTGGACATGGGAATAACCAAGAAAAATACATTTCAATGATTTGGGGTCTAATTTGGTGACTTGGGGACGAGAGTCACGGACAAAACATGTACACTCAAAGATTTTAAGTTCGATGGGAAACAAAGGTCTATTTGGAAAAAGAGTATTAAAAGGAGTCCCACCATTCAGAACAGATGAAGGTAGACGATTAATTAGAAAGCAAGTTGTGGACACTGCATCAGCCCAAAAATGTTTAGGAACATGCATTTGAAATGATAAGGCTCTTGCAGTTTCGAGCAAATGTCTATTCTTTCATTCTGCAACCCCGTTTTGGGATGGTGTATCCACACAAGAGGTTTGATGAATAATGCCATTTTGCACCATATAAGATTGAAAAGGTGCGAATAAATATTCTTTGGCATTGTCACTTCGCAATATTTGTACAGAACGCTTAAATTGGGTCTTAACCTCAGCACAAAAAGCACAAAAATGAGAAAACAACTCTGACCGATTTTTCATCAAATATAACCAAGTCATATGAGAATGGTCATCGATAAAAGTAACAAAATACTTGAATCCAGTTTTAGAAATGACTGGACTAGGTCCCCAGACATTTGAATGAACTAATGCAAAAGGAGCATCCGCTCGTTTATTGACTCTAGGACTCAGATTAACACGGTGATGTTTAGCAAACTGACAAGACTCACAATCTAATAAAGACAAACTCTGAAATTGTGGACAAAGTATCTTTAACAACGGGAGAGAAGGATGACCCAACCTACAATGTGCTTCGAATGGAGTTACAATTCCAGAACAAGCTATGGACTTTGGTATCTATGTGTCAAGAATGTAAAGACCTCCAGATTCATGTCCTTTACCAATAATCTGCTTCGTCGTAAGATCCTGAAACAAGCAATAGTCAGGAAAGAATTGGGCAGAACAATTGAGGGCACGAGTAAGTTTGCTCACAGAAATTAGATTAAAAGACAACTCAGGCAAAACTTAAAGACAGATGACAATGAGATTAATGGAGTGGGGTTAACTAAGCCTGATCCAAGAACACGAGATTTTGACCCATCAGCTAAGGTAACTGTAGGTGCAGATGTGTGTGACTGAAAGGTAGAAAATAGACTAGAATTACCTGTCATATGATTTGTGGCACCAGAATTAATTACCCATTTGGAGGACGAGAACACAAGGCATGTGTTTGGTTTACCTGACTCAGCGATGGCAGTTACGGGAGTAGATGAAGACTTTAATGATTCTTGATACTGAGAAAATTTAGCAAATTCATCTGCAGAGATCGTAACAGACTTTTCATGGTTAATAGCAACATTGGTAGAAGCAATATGTGTGGATTGAGTTCTCTGGTTCCTGTACTACAATTTCTTACAATCACGCTTCATATGACCCGGCTTATGACAATAGTGACACACAACCACTTCTGCATTCTATCCCCGAGTGTCAATTCCTTTACCACCACCTTTGTATTGCTGTTTTCCAAGACCAACAAGAGCACTGCTGGACTGAACAGACTGGGTATTCTCTGTGCGAAGCATCCTACTAAACACATTTTGCAAGGATGAGATCTCAGGATTGGAAAGAATTTGAGATTTAGCAGCTTCAAATTCAGGTGAAAGACCAGCCAAAAAACTCATAATTGCCATCTGTTCCCGTTGAGTTTGCTGAACTTTCACATCAGAACTAAACGGTAATAACAGATTAAGCTCCTCATAAGTTTTCTTAAAATCCATAAAATAAGTCATGATGGACTTATCTTGTTTCTCTGCACGATAAAAGGCTCGACACACCTCATATATGCGAGAAATATTCCCTTTACCAGAATTCAAAAATTCTAAATACTCCATTAATTTCTTAACAAATTCACAGTAATTAATTAAGCTAATTACCTCACTTTCAATAGAATTCCGTATATGCAGGAATAATCTAGCATCTTCCCTTAGCCATGTCTGTCTTGAACCATCTTTTGGAGGATCATCAATCAGATGAGTGTCTTTATCAATGCTTCGCAGATAAAGACGAACCGTTTTGCTCCAATCAAGATAGTTAGAATTGTTGAGTTTGTGGTCCGTGATCTTAGACATCACAGGAACCACATTAGACGTAACGACAGATTTTGTTCTGCCATGAGTTTAGAATTAATAGAAAAACAAAAAAAGACAGATCTGAACTCTTTAAAACAAGAGTGACGAATAGAACACAGATATGTCCTATACAGAACCAGATGAACCGAATGATGACTAATGAATTTTCTGGCAGCGGATAGAGACCCTAACCTTGATGGTAGCGCTCTGATACCATGAAAACTAAGAAAAAGGGAGAAAAAAATACTCTTCTTCATATATTTGGACCACACAATATACATATATATATATACACAAGTGTAACTTAATTTAGATCCTAAAATCATGCTAATCTAAATTAATCTACTACCTAATTATTATATGATATTATAATCATATGATACCTAATTAATACATGATACTATAATCATATCTTTCCTAATATTTATAATATCAGATCACATATCTTCAACATGTGACAAGATGGACTTCTAACATATCAAAGGAATTATTAGGATGTGCTTTTCTTGTATATAGCCATCACAACCAACAATAGCTTTAATTAAGGAATACCAACAATGCAACATCTTCTTCCATAGCTTTTGTCCAACCAGGATGGAATATATTTTCAGTAATGGAATTGAATGAGTTTCAAGCTAGACAACAAAAATACGATTGAAAAGAAATAAAGGAACATAAGCTACTAAGCTAGCAATGGGATACAAAGGGAAGACCTCCTATGTTTCTGTTAAGCAACGGGAAGATCTAAATCAGATGGAGGTGTAACTGTCTGATTTGATGTCAACAAGGCAACTGATAAATCAGTGTCAGAGCTCCATGCAATGGAACAAGTTTTTCATTTTTCCTCCTAGTAACTCCATTTTGGTGTGCAATGCATGGACGAGAATGTTCGACTTGGCCATGAAAGAATTGAATGGGCTGGAAAAGGATTCTTCTGCATTATCATGATGATGGATGATGACAAGTAGGTTGAATTTGTTCCCATTGCAGAATAGAAATGAACAAAACACAAAATGCAAATTACAATATTATTTCATAAGATAAAAATAAGAAACTCTAGAAAAGTCATCAACAATTATTACAAAGTATTTGGAACCAAATTTGAAGTGACAGAGTTCCACTGCTAACTTTGAAATAAACTAACATTAGTGGTGCAGGCTGCAGGTGCTTATTTCTTCAGTCTTGGAGCAAATGAAAGACAACAAAGCTTTGTGTAATTTGAGATGACTCATTTAAAAGAAGACACAGATCAGGGACTAGTTTCTTTAAATTTTGCAAGAATGAATGACCCAAGTGACAGGGGACTTCAAGTGGAGAAACGCCAGGGAGATATGCAACTGAATAATTGAACAGAGTAGTAGAGATGTAGCTTGTGCCCTCTACTAGTAATCCTATTTGTTCCCAGATGTTAACTTTCCACAGGAGTTATTTCCTAAACACTAATTGATTTGTGAGTTTACTAACAGAGACAAGATTAAGCGAAATCAGGAATATTGAGAACATATGAGAGCGAAAATGAGTTGGAGTACCTGCCATGTGATGTAGAAAGATGTCATCAAATTATCTAATTGAGGAAATGAAGCACTGGGAAGAGATGTCCCAAAGAACAGAAAAGAGGTCTGCCAATTATATCAGAAGAATAATGATGAACATGATTCCTTAAATATAATGAGAATTTGACAACTGCAGCCAACTCCACCGTTGACCAATTTTACTTTTAGTACCATGAAAATCATGATTATGGCATAACTTTGAGTGCGCATATCAAGCATGATATCTACATAGAAGGTGAGTAATTGAGACACCCAATGAGAAGTGCCATGCACTAGTAGTGTCATGCGACCACCAATACAGGATGAGCAATGCCAATGAGCACTAATGTGGACCATGCTGCAATGAACAGTGCCACGTAAATAATGCTGATGAACAGTTAATATTTATATATTTTTAACGTAACAATCTTTTCTAAATTTTTGATGTACTATGCAAAAACTTCCTCTTGTACATCCTATGCCTACGATAACATATAGATCCTCCAGTTCTCTTTTGCTTTCGCATCCTTTCCCTCCTGGTCATGAAAATTGTAGTATTCTGTTGTTATTTGTTAACTTAGTCGTGCACTTAGGGAATGCATTGTTGGGATTAATGGTAAATCGTATGACTGCAGGAGACGTTGCATATGCACCCTTGTAATAGTTCACCTTCTGAATCATATGATGCTTTGGAGGCTGCACTACCAAAATTCAATGGGAAAACAGAAACAAAAGATGGAAGAGAAGCTGCTTCTGCAAAAAGTCTCTTGAAGAATTGGCCATTAATGTCATCCATAATAGCATATTGCATTTTCTCCCTTCATGATATGGCTTATTCAGAGGTATAGTTGATATCTGTCTTCTCATCATTTTAATCATTTAAACATTGTTTCTTCCAGCATTTTACTATCAGTTTACACAGAGATGAAGGTAGGAATTTCTGTAGGTTCTTTCAGTCTCTTATTTGATATTTTTGTTGCTGAAACTTTGATCATCTGGCAAGTTATTTTTTAGTCATTGTTTTATTCAGGGACTTTGTTTCTTTTGTTGCTGCTCTTATCCAGTTAAGCATGCACATTATATTACAATTGTTATTTCCACAGATATGTTCATTATGGGCAGAAAGCCCCAGGAAGTTTGGAGGTTTAAGTTATTCAACTCAAAGTGTTGGTGAAATTCTAACAATTACAGGTAGGTTTGATTATCAATATTTTCTGACCTCTACCACAAAGAGGTTTTGTTTTATTAATGTCTGTTATTACATGTTTTCTCTTTCCTCCTTTCTGGTACAGCTGATTGTTGTAGAACAAAGGATGTATTTTATCAGTTTTTCTTCTATGAATAAAATTATCATCTATCATGGAACTTTTCTTTCTATGTAGCTCCATGTGTGGTTTGCTGTCATAAATAGATATGAACTAAGTTAAACAAATGGTTTTATCAATGACGCTCATATTTATCAATTCAACAAGTGAGATGGAAACTCAATGTGTACTGTAGATATAATAAGCATCTCAATATATGATGTCATACCAGTGTTCCACCTTTTGTCATTATAGCAAGTTTTGTGAAATCCAGTAAATTAGAAACAGAGTTGATGTATTGTTAAATTTAGGGCATTACTCTTTGCTGACAGAAAAAAAAAAATCATTTTTTCGCAATATTTTGGTGTCATGTGTTGGGGCTTATTAAATGTGGTTTTCAAAGTGGTTTCTTCTGTTTTCCAAAAGCAAGAATCTTTTTGGGAAATACTTAAATAAATCTATAAGAAGCAATTTTTTTGCAGTATATCTCTCAGTTTGAGAGTAATCTAAGATAAGATGCTTCTTGGATATTCTTTTGGAAATACTGAAATAAAAATTTGTCATTATTGGACTTGTAATATCTGTTATATTACCTCCTTTAGCACAGTAGATGGCTGTGCACATATGATCCTGCCATTATATTTTTTCTGAAGCAGATATGGCCTACATAGACCTACTCCTTGAATCTTTTCTAAACCTACTTCTAATTGCGCTTTTATTTCTAACTGGAAGCTGTATAAATTGTTTTTACTTCCCCGTTTCAACAGTTATTGCTGACTACTTAATGAAGGCAAATATTATATCTAGTGAATCTCAGTGTTGCAAATTATCTATGTGATCTTCCACTTAGCTTTCTGTTTTCTTTCTTTTGTCTTTTGTTTCTTGGTTCTATGTAAAATCATGTCGAGTCATGAAGTTGTTTTCGTGCTGGCGTGATCTTCTTGTACAAATGATATGATCCATGTCCATGAACTATTTTCTCTAGCAGCATAATTGTCTCTTCTCTTGAAGTTTTAACTGATGTATGTGTTACCATTTTTTATATCCTCTGAACTACTGGTTGGAACCTTAATCAAATGCGTTTCACATTGAGCATTTTGTTACTGTCTTTAATCACAAGAAATACTTTAAAATGTTGGTTGTTTGGTTAGATTTTCTTTTGGTTTTTCATTTTCTCTTCATGTCTTTCATGAGGCGAGTGGTTTTGGAGAATCATTTAGGTGCGCTTAAAAAGACCAAATGGTATAGGTAAATTTCTGATTAAGCTCAAACTAATGAGAATGTAATGGTCTTATTTTGCTTTGCATATGCTTTTTCTTCTTTTTATTTCTTTTTTGTGGTGGGATACTTCAGCGTTATACTTAAAACAACTATTCCAAATTTTCAGGATGTGGACTTTTAGTTTTTCAACTGTTTTTGTATCCATTTGTGGAGAAGATGCTCGGCCCAATTAACATTGCTCGAATTTCAGGAGTAAGCACTAAAATGCATATTGATTATAATCACTTTGATTTGAAATAAGGTTTCAATAAAATTTAGCTAATGGCATCTAATAATACATGGAACCTTCCGTTTGTAGATATTGTCAATACCTCTGCTGACAAGCTACCCCTATATAGCGATGCTACCTGGAATTGCCCTCGCAGTTGTCCTCAATTGTGCAATATTGTTGAAAAGCGTCTTATCTGTAAGTTCTTTTCTTATTTCAACAATCCATAAGTGGTCTTTGGCTATTGAATTCTGTCAGTAATTATACAATAAATTCCAGAATATGTTGGTGTTAACATAAAATAAATACATATGCAACACAAAGGAGCTTTCTCAACTTGCTTGATTTGTTTCTTCCACTTCTTAGGTGACTCAGTAACAATGAAAAAATTTTAGACAATTATCATTTGAAGTAATACCTTAGGAAATGGTTGTTACTGTCTTAACAACTTCTACTTTAATGTCCTATTTCCTGACGCTAAATTCAATTGTTTCCATCAGATTGCATGTTGCTTATAGCTGAGATGGACATTGAATTTTATTATGTTAAAAAGACCTGATTTCCTGTACTCCATGCTCTTTTTTCCTTAACTAAAGTTAAAGGATTTTACATGAAGGGACATCCTATTGGTTAATCTCCACAGTAGATTGGAGTTGAAAGTATCTTTCTAGAATTGGTCTTAAATATGATTAAAAGTATGGTGATTTGATCTCTAACTCATTTTTATTTTCCTTCTTCGGCTTCAGTTTCCCATATAAATAACCTCTATCACCATTTCTTATGTAATATAGATGTTAGATTGATTCCAGACCTAAGTATTTTATTGATCATATAGGAGCAGATTGATAAGGCCTTTAGTTAAGCTTCCACTGGCTTGAGTTTTCTCAGTGGGAACTTTTAGAGCTTGTTTGGGAAAAACACTATACAGATTATACATTCAATGTCCAGTT